TCCAGCCCGCAATCTTGCCCACTAACTGACAAACGGGAAAAAATGGAACACCTCTGTCAAGGTCATCACCTTCAGACGGCCAATCCTATTTCGTGACGCGCCTGTGCCGACTAAAAGCTTGTGAATAAGTCAATTGGCCTCGGAGTCCACAAAATTTTCACGACTCATCCCGGTCGAGCCGGTGCCACTCCACCTGTGTGTGTGCTTATTTGTGTGACGGTACGTGTGTGTTCCCACGTGTGTGCCGTTGTGTCGTGCGTACCTGCGTGCATCTGTACATCCGTGCGCTTCCTTGTGTACACGATTGTATGTGCATGTGTGCACGTGTGCTTTGACCGATTCAGGTTCGACTCGGTCCCGAACTGTCGCAGCCCGAAGCGCTCCCCTTTGTGTGCCGGCTGATTTCAGTGTTCGCTTGGTCGTCTGCCCTGAGAACGCTACTGTAAGACACAAACGCACATGCATTGTTAGAAACGCAAATTGAAGGATTTGGATTATAATTTTTTCCGCCACACTGAACTCATGCCGATTGGATGGTCACGCGTATTGTTTCGATACTCACACTGAGTGCCGGATCGTGAATTGAGACCAGGTGATGCAATGAACCAGTTGTTCCGGAATCCAGTTGACATTTATCAGAAATCCGTCTTGCCGGATACGGAAATCTTCTGTCAGAAGCCCCGTCTTTAGCGCATTGAACAGTGATTAGCGTTTATCAGAATCATGCGCCAAGCCACAGTACTGCGGTCGGGAGTCGCCTGTTGCACAAGGTCATATGGCTTGGCGCTATGCAAGGCAGTCTCTATGATCATTCCCGACAGCTCGTTGACCATCGTATGGATTTTGATCTCTGTGTTACACACAACGATGGCCAGCGAGATATTGCAGTTCAGATCTTCTCTAGATTCTCCCTCATCGTCATCTTCTTCCTCCTCCTCCGCCTACTCCAAATCATTTGATCTTCACTCCATGTCCGTAGCATGTCCGGATCTCCGGCTTCATTCCCAAGTTGTGCGAAGTTTCTCAACCAGACCTAATATCTCAGCGAACAAATCTCTGCTTGCAATGCTGCATGCGACCCACATCCCCTTATCATCAAATCGCACATGGCGGTCCACACAGCGAAAACCGTGCGAACCACGGCTGACGGATAAACTCAATCGGTCAACCAGAGCGACCAGAATCAGAGATATAAGTAAGTTTTATGTTATGTCGTTAACAGGTATCTGTGTTTGTAATTCACATACTATCTAATGAAAAGATCCAAGGGAATTCAGGTGATGCTGTGGAGTTTTGTTTATTATTTATAGTTATGTTTTCCTCCTAGAGAGCTGTATTTATGTGCAAAAACTGATTGATGTCTGATGAAAAAATAACGATAGTAGAAAAAATCATTTTGTAATCAGTCTATGGCATACGGGAGAGAAATGAAGCCAAATATCCACAGACCAATTACTAATTGCATCGCACAAATGTATGCATCGCGATGCGGCCTGGATGAATGTCGGCTAAAACTAGTTCAACGAGCATCGTATGTGTAACAATATCGTCACATCAAGTAAACCGATAGCTCAGTTACAACATATTATTACTGACTGGATCGTCCTCGTTTGTTCCAGTTTGCGGCAGTCTTCATACCTAGTGAAGCCGGTGGTTGTGGTGGTGGTGGTGGTGGTGGGGATATCACTTGGTTGTGTGTTCAAAATGACAAATGAGATAGATACGTCTGACATTAAACGGTATCCGTGATGTATCCATCCCATCGGTCCGGAATGAAGCATTCACACATTGATCGGTTGAACAAAATTTGATGACTTTCTGATTTAAACACACAAACAGTGATGAACACTCAGAGACATGCGCAGGCATAAACAGAACACAAACGTGGAGGCTGTACCTGAGAGAAAGCGAAGTGGACACCAGGATGTCCGTGCTTTCCAGACCACATGGCCAGATTTATCCCTCGTAAGAGAAACAAACTATCGCAACCTCGAAAGTTATCAAACTGCCTACATATATCCCCTAAACGAGGGGATTTCATAGAATCTCAGTTTTACGCGTCCACATGTGCGTGCACCGACACTAAGTGACACTAACCGACTCGCACAAACACACATATGTTTATAGATGTACACTCACTGGGGAACATGCATCGCCAAGAAAAAAATACACACATTTTCATATCACGTATCTAAACGAAGAACCGAAAGTCGCAGAAAAGAATGTGAAATCATGAAATCTTTCTGGTAGTGTACCTGTCTTATCACAGAATGCTGGAGAAAATGTTGTTGATGGGTGGATGTGTTATTGCACGCTGAATGAGCGAGCGAGTTGGTGTGCGCCTGAAATTTGTGCATGAGAAACGAGGAGTCGCGTACCTTAAAGAAGGGAGAAATCATAAGTGGAATCGTCTGACGATGAGCGATTTCCAATAAAATCAAATCTATTGAACGCGCCAGCTATTTATTAGGGTTTTTTTCACAGAGAGATTTTCCCACGTAGGACAAATAGACATTTATTGCCTGCACTTCAGCCGTCCCGAATTTAATGCAAGGGTTGGTGGATTTCCAAAATAGGTCTGGGCGTAACGGTCCGGAGTATACCGGACACAAAGCCTTTCTCATTATGGTGACGAACAAATAATTATGTATGCATAAACTAGTGGTAACAGGTGCTGTCTCTCGCAAGGTCAACACGCTTAAATCAATGACAGTTAAAACTTGAATAAAAGAAGGAAGAAATGCAAAATAATATTGATTTCGTGATCATTCAATCTGACCCTAGAGTTTGGAAAATGGTCATTAATCGGACATTGTACAGCTGCAACTCGCTGTCGTCGTGCGCTGTCGCATCGAACGCGTTCAAATATGGGATTATGTAGATTCATTTACCGTATTTTAAGAAAGAAACATCATAGATGATGATGGATAATCAAACAAGAATACTCCTTTCAATCCTGGCAGACTCTGCAAATGAACACAGCCATAAATGTTTACAATAGTCAAACAGTAGACGCAATGTTATTGATCAAAGTAGTTGTGGCTGGTGTTCACTGACCACGTTTCTCTTCCCTCTATTTACTGATTCGCCTAGAATATTGTGAAAAGGAAACAAACAGAGTGATTGGTGCTATCCTGTTTTATTTCGGACGAAACATTGCAATATAAGTTCAGTGAATGTATGCTAAGAGCAAACTACGAAGTTAGATTTATTTTTGGTGAGAGAACGTCTGCATGAGTAGGATAAACTGATGCCTCTCATGTATACCTAAAGAATACTTTCTTTTAATGCAAATGACATGTAATCTGTATTTGGTTCACGTTCACGTCAGTGCGGCGTGAGATATGAACACTAAAACACAAAGCCGAGCTTCAGAATGGCAGGCCTTCATAAAGCAAAATCCAACTCAACATGGGGCAATTTATTCTGTGTTTATAAATAAACTTCTCGGTAATTATTGAGTTGAAGTTTACCATCAAGCTGAAAGGGTATGAACTAATCTTGTGAACCAGGATATCAAGTTGATGTTAGCAGTGAGGCATCTGTAATTGATATTTGATTGTGAGAGCCGGAGAAATATTGACTCCTCACCGTTATCGTCAAAAACAGTTAACTAAATATCCTCATCCTCAACGACATCTCCGTTCGCAATAAAACAACGATCTAACAAATGATTCAGCCCTAAAATAATAATTGTTGTTATTGTTATTGTAATACCATTGTAAGAAAAGTTGATTTCAAATGCGGAATTGCACATGCCCATCTCTACGTGGAATGATATTTTGCCTGGAGGTATTTATCCGTTACATTTAACAACTCTTCTCACACTAATGAGAATCCAGCAATACCTCTTTTATAAAAGAATCCTCGGAACGGGAGACATTAACCAAACATTCCAAACTATCAGCAGAAAAAAATATATTCAACAAACGAATAAACCCTTTTTCACCGTTTGGGAAATTTTGCTTTGTAAAATCCGCTAATTTCTAGTCAGCTTCATCGGTACATCGTAATCCGACAAAATTGTAACTCAGCTTCTCGCTTTGGCTTTTGGGACGGTTCGCTTCCATCATAAATAATGCCATTGTGTGACAGTGGTTTATTATTGATGTTGTCACACCTCTGGATCAAACAGCCATTCGCTCATTCTGCATGAACACTATGTGGGAAGAAGTGCTTCAGTGACCTTCAGTTGATGATGTGTAGTTGGCGCCAAAGTAAATGACCTGTAAACAACTGTACGCATCGGATGGTTGACGCCGGATAACCAACGTCCAACTTAACTCCCTTGTAACTGCTCTACTGGTGAAAACAAGATTTAAGTTTTGTTGTTTTTCCACTTAGGTGGGTTTGGGGCTCGAAAACACTAAGGAATAATATGGAATTCGTTTTACGTAATTTATCATCGAATGATTTATATGTATACTACTTATGGTTGTTGATTCATAATACCAGTCCGGTCACTATTTTGATGCTTTTTTAATTTATGGATTCCTAGATTACCTTATTTTTATTCGCTCGGGCGGCTTTGACTTATTGTATTTTCAATTCGAAATCTCTACAACCTCAAGTTCTTCAAGCAATTGATTGAAGTAAACCAAGCACAATAAATTCGGTGCCAACTGGAGTCACCAGGACTGTGTCGTTGTGATATGAACATTCAGACGCTTAATACAAAATTCATTTGTATGGAATGTTATTGTGTTGTAAATAAGTGACTAACCTAATTACTAAAGATTTGAGCCAAATCATATACGACATTCGCCTGAAACTATTCAAATTTTGTGGTTCAACCGATAAATACTTCGTGCTACTCGGGACAAACTGATTATTATTACTTTTACTCTGCTTTTGCGCTGCATAGGAGGACCGCAAAATTAGTTAGCTACCTCAATTTCAACTTGATTCTGTAAAGAAGAACGTTCGTTTGTTTGTTTTCCGCTTTCCCAGGATCCTCACGTCATACACACTCAGCCACCCCCCCTCCGGTTCATACAGGTATGCACAGAAATGTCTCTACCTGCAACAAGACATCAGATGCAAACCAACGGTTTCCTAGTCAGCATGTGCCACGGATCGCGCGACGTTTACTCGAGTGCCGAAGAAATTGCAGCAGAAATCGGAACCTCAAGGAATTCGCATTACCCGAGAAGAGCACACCAGAACCGGTTGATTCGGTTGATCCAGCTCATGATATCAAAGTGACCTTTCAGGTGAGCTCAAGTTCAGGATATTTACATGTAACAGGGGAGTAGATACTTTTAGGTTATAATAATAATTCAAGAAGTTGCATGAGTTTGAATGTAATCAGATCTCATCAAATTTCTGTACATTTTAAATGTTCTTGCATCAGGTTTCCCTACAAGATCAAAATTCCAATTATTTATTCTGCAACGATTTAAAATCTTGCTCGTGTTTTTCATGTGCTTGAAAACTATTACCAGCCCATTTAGTGATAACATTTATTTATTGTTGCGACTATTGCAAGCAACTTCGGGTCCAGGTAGAAATGGTCGGTTGATGAACCGGTGGTAGATTTACTAACTGAGTTATGCATCCACAATGAATATCAATAAATTCTACTATTCTAAGACAGTTGGGCAGCGTGCAAACTGCAGAATACCTTTTGCAAGTAAAGTAAATCAATAAATGAGCTTGTTTTTATTCTGAAGTTTTTGGTAGTACTTCAGCTTATTGAAACATTAACCTCGGTTGGAGCAAATCCAGAGACCCCATTCGCTAAATGTTAGGCTTGGCATATTTTTTACTTCCAAAAGCATTTATAACATTTCCGCATAAATTATAATTATTTACATTTTGATCAATAAACCTCCAGTTTCATCATAAGAAGTGTATACTTGATGAAGTCCCAAAGTTATCTCTTTGTAAGTTACAAATACTCATTTTTGAGTTCGAAGTACAGAACGATGTAGATGTAGAATGGAACTAAAACATCACTCCTAGGACCCGTTGTTTTTTTTCACTGCTCAATCTATCTACATTTCCAGGCTAATCCACAAAAACACCAGCATGTTCCCCTTCGAAATGTCCGACGGATGAGCGTACGTCCAGGCAAATATCAACGTAGATCATCAGATTTCCCAAGGAAGAATATGGCAGCAAATTCAGATGGAAAACCAAGTAAGGCTTACCCATTTATATAAAATTTGAAATACCTTTGCATTACATTTTCAGCCTTGTTCTGTTTTTACTTCAATCGAAAGGACTAAAAAACGGTCGTCGTTTTCTATTGTCAGGTATCAAGTCATCAGAAGTAACCGAAAACAACACATTTATGATGCTGACATCCCGGTTCGTTCACTCGACGCAGAAGAATGGTTCTGAAGGGGACGAAATTTTATCGCCATATCCCCTCAAGAGCTTGCTACGAGAAACACCACCGTTATACGTCTTTCCAGATCTAGGTGTCACTGACGATGGACAATCAGAATCAAAACATTTGTCACTGATGGACTCAGGCCGAACGATTCGCATGGATCAACGACGTCTGATTGTGGTAGATCAGCCGGACACTGGTCCCTCGCGATCTATTTTATCTTCGATATCTGATCGATCCTACGCCCTCGGATCAGTCGATCGTGAAGGCACAAATGACACGGCCGAGAAAGGTTATCCAGTGCTTAGTTTTCAATATATCGAACCGCATACTATTGAGCTTTTGGTTGTCGTTACCGAACGCATGACGCAGCGATTTGGTAGATTAATCAATGAATATTTGCTGTCTTTGCTCACCACGGTAAGTTGCCATGGCCCATCCAATTTCAATGTCACAATGTTATCACAGATTCTTGCTATATGTTCGTTCTCCATGCATGTGGTATCAATATTTGTAAAAGGATAGCGTCTAATACTTGCGAAACACAATTTTTCCGTGTGATTTTACCTGCCGTAAAATCAACCAAACATTATGATTTTGTATAACACTGGTTCAGTGTCCCATCTATCCTGATCCAAGCCAAATTTCACAATGCAACTAAAGAACTAAGGAAACAGTATATCTACGTCCAGTCTTCTTCCTCCGGTTCCTTTCATTCAAATGTCCTGTTAATTGGTTTAAAAATGTTCGGAATAAAACGATTTCTGTGCTTTCTTAGAATTTGTATTGTGAAAACAATCCGAAATTCTTAACGAGACAAGTCGGAACAAACGCACTCCTTGGCCTTTGCGCCGAATTACAACAAACTTTGATAAACAACAATTGAAAACAAAGAGAAGTTGCCTTCGGGTACCATTTGGAGGAGAACATGAGGGTTGCATTTCTCATGCAAGCCGGTTGAAGAAGTTTGCAAAATGATCCGCAAATACATTTTGCGTTTTTCTGACTTTCTTCAGTAAAGGACAGCAAACAACAACAACACACACAATAAACAAGTTTTCCGAATTACCTATCCGAATATAAACACACCTGATTTGTTTGATGATGAACATTCGAGGCGATTGCCCCGAGATTTTTGAATAATTAACTTTTCCATCTTTATACTTAATTTCCGCCGAAAGTAATATATCACCATGCTTAAATCGATGATCGCGTTGGATAAATAATATCATATCTTAGTTTTCCGCAGAAACGTTTTGTGACAGCTGTTATGAATTTATGCACCACTGAAATGTCTTTCTCCCTTTCATTTTGCCTATTTCACTACTTACATAAGACCAAACTGAAATGGTTGCAAAGAAGTCGTTTACAAACAAATCAGATATCAATTGTTCTCTATTTCTAATTTCATGTGTAGCCATGGGCACTTTGTCTCTATCACTCCGCCATTATGGTTGCTTTGATTGTCGAAAAATATATATATGAATGAGTGAAACACTGAGTATTCGTTCCCCCTATATCCCTTTTTCCAAGGTTTCATCGCTACTCAGGCATCCAAGCCTTAAAACCTCCTTGCAATTGAAAATAGTGGACATCATGCAACTGGATCGTAATTATGCGGTAAGTCACTATCTGAGTACCTTTAATCCAAACATCTTATATCTATCTAGTATAGAAATAAACGAGAAACAGTCAAGGGAAACGCTGAACAAGTCATCTAGTCATTCATTACAATATCCAACAAGATGAGAATGACATCTATGTTTACCCGGACAATGTTTACCACTAGATATCAACGAACCCAATTGTTGACCATAGTATCCCCGCTACCTCAATCTGGTAACATTACAGACGTACAGGGTTCTATCAGAGTAGCAGATTATCCGTAAGAGCTAATAACTGTTTTAACTGTTCGTAGGTGATATCATTTTCTAACACATTTATCTATCTATCCATCCATCCATCTATCGATCTATCTATCTTTATATCAAAGACACAAATATTGAAGATAGTGACACCCGAACACAGGACTTTAGGAACAGTAAAAACGGTTCTTCGCAAAATGCCAGAAAACGAGTATCCGTGAGGAGAGTACTACGAGTCAAGAATGCACAAATACATCCCGAGGTTACTCGGTTAACAAAACGATCAGCCAGATCACAAGGAGCTTCTCATAGTTGAGAAGATGAATTTCTGAAAAACATTTTTGGTGTGGAACACATAAATTAAGGATTGTGTCCGCACGATGTCCATTCTGATTTACGTGTAGAATAATCCTGAAGTGAGGGAAGTTTTGGAGAAGCTTACAGTTGCAGTATATTTTAGTCATTTAGACCTAGAACATCGCATTCACTCTGCGATTTTTTAAAGAACAGTATCTGATTGATTCAGCCAAAGATAGCAGTGTTATTGAAGTTATTTTAATTTGAACCCAGTTATAATTAAGTGGAAAACAAAAAATGTCTACATAAATCAATGACATCAAACCATATCTGAAAGAAGTGAATGTAATTTTGTATCATTTTCTGGCAGATTCGGCATAACCTTGATGATTGGTCATACAGTAAACAAGAACAAGTGATGTCACGTTTCTGTCGCTGGGTCAATCGACTGCGCCGACCGGATTTCAACTGGGACTCGGCTATTTTGTTAAATATTGGGTAAGACCTAGACCAATCCATAACATGTACGTTTGCTCACACTTATTGTCTGCAATAGTTCTGTTTTTTTCAAGATGTTTAAAAAACAGTTAAATGAAGAAACGCGACTATCCTTTTGAGACGTGTTCTGAATTCAAGAAATAAATCAAGCAAATGCATCAAAGGTGTGCATACGAAACTGGGGAAAATATATATCAGATTTAGAATGAATAAGAAAATGACCTCAGTCTCAGCGTTTATTCATTGCCTCATTAGCCATTGTGGCCAGCGAACTCATGTGTTTCAAAAAATGAAGTGGTAGAGGAAAACTTTGATCAACCGTTTTGAAAGAGTAAATCGCTCGTCAGATGTTGCAACGCTTCCCTAATGGATTAGTTTGACTTGTCACACTGTTGTCAACGACGCGAAATATGGTTCAAATAGTTGTTTGGCAGATTTGAAGTTTCTATGTCGATTGTGAAAAGTTCAGTAGCCAGTATTCACTGGAGTTTATTTTATATATGATATTAATTTAGTGATTCTTATTCCCATTTCCATTGGATTTTATTGGGTGAAACTCTCCATTTGTTTTGGATGTTGTGGTAGTGCGTCAGAAATTGGCCTTATGCAAATTATCCCGGCTCCCTCTCTCTCTGTAGCCACCAAACAAATCAAAACATCACGTCAGTAGTCTCTGTCGTGAAGCTACATTGGGTCACACAGAGGTTCTCATAATAATGGAAACAATGTTACAGCAAGACACGTTTTTTTCACAGGGACCAAACTTCAACAAAATCACAGAATGAATGGAAGCAGAACCAAACATGTGTCCTTGAGTGTAGAGACCGGATATTTTGATTGGTCAGACGACCCATCCGAATGCAAATTTTGACTATAGGCAAATTTCTCTCAAAAAGAGGATGGTTTTACAGTCAAACTAGTGTCGTTTTTCTTAGCTTTTTGACACTGCATTAGTTATCGAAGATTTCGCGAACAGGTTTTGGTCCCTGGCTCCGAAACAGAAAAATAACAGGAGGTTTGTGTTTCTAGTTGTTTAACTTGTTCATTTGCATTGTTGGTACAACCAACTCCCCTCTGCACCCACACACAAAAGCATGTAACAAGAAGAATTTTTGGTTTACCAGGTAGTCAAGGCAACCTATTTGCTTTGTCTTCCGAATCCACTTGGATTGGTTAGTGATAGGAAAAACATTACAAGCTTGTTTGAAAACTGGCCGGTTGCATTTGGCATGCTGGCATTCGGGTTACCTCAACGAAAGAATTCTTCATCTCTCTGAATAACTTTAGACCGAGAGAAAAATGACTGCTGAAGTGGAGTTTGTTAGAATATCGAGCGAATTCAGTCCATGAAATTGTAGAATATTTTTGAAACTTCTTTAATGGCAAGCTATTTCCAAATGATGCATTCCAAACAGAACTCAATATTCTTATGAACAATGGAGCACTAGTTTCTGATACTCCTAACAAGTGTGCTTCTAATCTTTATCCAGGACGTCGAAATATTTACTCATTAATTTGAGCAACCTTTAGACCGTAACCCGTGTATCTCAGTGTCATACATTTCAGCACAAGTTCAACA